CAAATGGCAAATTTTGGCTAATTCGAGGAAAGTATGAGTACCCCGGAGGCATGGGTCGATTGGGTCTGGTCCTAATTGCATAAGTGTGTCGTGCTCGCCGAACTGTTTGGCAGATCGCCCTTTATTTCTCAATTTGGCTGAGTTAGAGTCTTTAAAATTCGGTGGGAAGCCAGAGCTCACTGAGTTCACTCGGCAACTCGTCAAAAGGTCCCTCGGTCGCCTTGTCTGCGCCCCTAACCCCTAAAAACATGCTGTAAATTTTGGCAGGATAGTCTAAGCTCACCAAGTAGTGTCGGTGATCCACCGAAGGTCCCTTAGTATCGCTGACTTGCCTGATTTCTGGAAATTTTTTAGGTGGAGCCTTTCCGCGAGCCCGATCGGCCTCCCAAAAGTGTCTCGGTGACTCACCAACTGGTTCAACGAGTCTTTCTGCAACTTGATTTCTGTAATTTTTCTTGAGTAATTTCTAACTCTTTTTGATGTATTTTGCATATATGGAAAGACCTAAAGTACCGGAATGAAACATGCCACCCCACAAAAGGGGAAAAGGAATCGTAATTAATTAGGATGCAGCTGCATCCAAAGCAAAGGAAAATAAACTTCCTACCACTGGTGGGAAAGGCAAAGGAAAGGGCAAGGCGCCCACAGCTGCATCACCGGAGGTCAGTTCCGATAGTGAGGGTGTCTATGCAACTCACATCACCACTTTCGAGAGCGAGGGGGAACACCAAGATCCTCAAGCTGCCATTTCTGAGCCTGAGGATGACCAACTAGTGTTGGCCAGGAGAGCTGAAATGTGCTCCAAGATGATGAATGATCCGTCTAGGATCCGGGTATCTCAATCCACTCATCCACCTCCAGTCTAAGATTAGGCTGTGGTCCCAGCACCACCTGCACAGGGCCGTCCTCCTCGGTTTCTCAATAGATTAAAGGCTGAGGGATTGAGGACTATCATTGAGGAAAATAGGCTCTCTATAGATGGTGTGATAGACCGATACCCAAAAATATGGCGTACCCTCAAGTCCCATAAGTTTGAGATCTTTACTAAACCCCGAGGCCCTTACATTCCTAACTGGGTCCAAGAGTTTTACATTGCCTATGGAGCTCTAGTGCCACAGGAAAAGAGAAAGGTTGTTGCTTTCAAGCCAGTTGACTATGTGGTTGTCAGGGGAAGAAAGGTAAAGTGTGACAGCGATGATTATCAATGTCGTATCAGAGTGCACAAAAATAGTGTGGATGACTACCAGAGCATGATCAAGAAGACTTCATTGGGGGACATGAAGAGCTTGCTACCCCCTATCCTTTCAGATGATACCCCTTGGTGGATCGAGGTCGGAGTTTCCATAGAGAAGAAGGATCTAAATATGGCGGTGAGGTACTGGTTTGGGTTTATCAACAGCACAATCATGCCGTCCCAGAATGAGTGTATCCTCTGGCACACGAAGGCGGCCTGTCGTGTCTCTATAATTGATGGGGAGTGCCTCGATTTGGGTATGATCAATGGAAGAGAGATGGCCATGAGGGCCAGGCAGCACCAAACATCTCTCTATTTTCCGGTGTTGATCAACGAGTTATGCGGACAAGCCCGTGTACCACGAGATGAGAAGAAGGATGTGGAAGTGATTCCCACATCCTAGACGGACATCTGGCGTATTGAGGTTGAGTACTTGAAGTATGAGGTGTGCTTGAAACTGTAGCGACCCTAAAAATAGATAGGTGAAACTAGAGCCTAACGTATGAATTTTTAAAGTTTAAGCATAAATTGGAAGTAGTCACTTTTGGAAAAACAAATAGTTCAGAATCTGGAAATTGGCTAAGTTCAAAATCTGGAAATTCTGCAAAGTGTGGAAATCAGTGAGTTTTTGGCCAACTTTGAGCAGTCATAACTCCTAGATCAGGATGATCCAGGAGCATTTACAGTTATGTTTGGAAAGCCCTTGGAACGATCTTTCCAACGCCACCGAGTTTGCTCGATTCCGAGTTCGTATGAGTGAGTTATGCCCTTTGAAATTTGGGCAGTTGGCAAGGAGTCCGTCCGGAAATTTAAGGGCATTTTGGTCTTTTCACAAATCTTTTCTTTTGAGGTTATATTATTGTGTTAGGCTGATTGTGGATCATTTTGTTCCATTTTAAAAGAGTAAGGAAGGGTTCTCTTTGGAACACCATTGAAGGCCAAGGTGAAGTTGGAGCTAGGGTTGAAGGTTTTGAGTGCTTTCTTCTTCAATTTTTCGTGGGTTTCAACTTAGAGGTATGGTGACCCTTGATCCTTGATCAATCTTTCTTTCAAGGAGTCCAATCAAAAGTGTTTCAAAGAACAAAATCTCAAATTCTAATCTAAGCATGGGTTCATTGGCAAAACATTTTCTAAGCCATTATATTGATGAATTAATGTTTGATTAATGTTTTTAAGATAATTTCATATGGAATTCCTTGAAGAATCCATGTTTTCCCTAAATTCCTAAATTTGCTTATGAGGTGGGTCTTTTGCTTATGATTCAAAGTTTATGAGATTGTGTTTGGATTGGATTGTATTAGTGACTCTTATGATTCTCTACATCTATCTATGATGAATTGATGATGTATGGATAAATTGAAAGTTGTGGCCTTATGGGCAAGTTATGATGAATTCTCTTGTGGTAAGTAAAATGGTTGGGACTTGAGTGTTGTTGATTATGGCTTTGGAGGATGGTAAGTTGGCTTAATCTCTTATTATGGATAAAATTGTTCTTGCTTAGTTTGATCCACTTATGGTGGAGGTGTTTAATTATGGAATGTATTATGAACATGGACTTGAATGCATTATCTATTGAATTAAAGTGTTATCAAGTTATGAAATGTTATTGTACTATGTGAAGGTATTCTTATGGTTATAAGGTGATTTTGTACAAAGTGTTATTTTATTGTATATTATATATATAAATGAGGCTATATGTAAAGTCCTATATGAAGCTATATGTAAAGTTTTATGTGAAGCTTTATGTGTGAAGGTATGATGTGAATGAGTTTACGTGATCTTGTGATGATCCTATGTAAAGTGGATAGCATTGTGATTTAAAGTATGATTTTCTCATGATGTATATATATGAAATGATGTTGGATTATGAAGTATCCTTAGATGATAATGTTGTGACTTGGTTGGTAGACTAAAGTGTCCCTCCTTGTTACTTAAAGACTTGAATGCATGAATGTGTGAAGTGGGGTAGAACTAAGAAATGGTGCCCTTTCTATAAATGCTAAAAGAGGAATTCTAGGCCAAGACTTGAATCGGCAAAACTAAGAAATGGTGCCCTTTCATAAGTCTAGCTTTCCTAAGTAAATGTATAACCTTGAAGGATGGGCCTTAGGGCGAAGTTCCCTTCTTGAGTGAGATGATAGCCTTAGAGATGGATGGAGCCGGAACGGCATGAAAATCCTTATCTAAGAAAGTCAAATGAGCTATCCTTATGAACCTTGATTGGCCATGACTAAGAAATGGGGCCTTTCTTGGGAAGAGGTACTATGAGTTGGTTGAACTAGAAAAGGAACCCTCTCTAAGTACATATGTGATTGAATACTCTATGGGAAACAAGGCTAGTACCGAGTGGATGTGGTTAGGAAGGTGGCCTAGTTGAGTATGAGATTAGGCACAATGAACTTCCTTGGACATCTCCTAAACCATGTGCCTACATGGGTTGCTTATTAGTTCTACCTTTGGCAAGTAGAACAACCTCCACGGAGTAGGATAGACTCCGGATTCCATACCTAGCTAGTATGGTCTATGTCGGTTATGCCTATTCCCATCATGTGGGATGTGCACTCTAGTTATTGGATAGGTTCTACAACGTGTAGGTAGTAGTATGGGATGCTATCTACACATGGCACGAGTAGGCTTTGAAGATACTAAAGTGAGTTCCCTAAGTCTAACGACTATTATGTGAAAGTCACCTTATGTGCTTAAATGTCTCCTAAAGTGGTTCATTAAAGAATTTTGACTTAGCATGTTATATTGTAATGGTACATTCCTTATCTATGGTAACCCTTAGGAACACTTAGGTGTATATAAAGAGATTGTATGGGCGGTCACTTCATGTTTCACTTAAGTGTGACTTTGGGTAACTTAGATAGAGGTCATGAAATGATGAAAAGGCTTACTTGTCAATTATATTCATGTATTGTACATTGGTACTAGTTGAGTATGTCTATTATGTGGGTATTGTCTTATATGTGGATGATGACTTGAAATGTGTCTCTTATAATTGTGATATGAAGGTTTTATCAAAAATGGCATGAAAGCACATATTTCAAATAAATGTCCTTTTTAGCATGTTTTTGCATGGTCATCATACTTAGTACTTAATTGTGCTAATTCCATATTTCTCTATTTTCTACAAGTGTAGGTTCCGGCAAGTGAGCGGGTTTTGTAGTAACTTGGGATTTGAAGTTCTTCCTAGATTTTGTGGTATGTCCTCATATGTCGAGGGCAAGACTTTTCTATTCTAGTTTTATGATAAGATTCTTGTAATAGACTTAATAGACTTCTTTTGATTGTAAAGGGCCGTGTCCCTAGTATGTTTTCACGTTTATGTCTAAGATGGCTAAGAGACTTAGTATTCCGCTTGTTTACTTTTGAATGATGTTTTTAAAAGTGACCTTTGAGTCTTATGGGATTTTATTTAAAGAGTTTTTAATTCCGCACTATTTTACATATCTAATGTGATGAATGCTAAGGGCTTGTATGAGACCTCCGAGAGGTCAAATACGCATGTTACGACTTGGGGGTGCTCTCGGGTCGTGACAAACTTGGTATCAGAGCATAAGGTTTTGGGAAATGGTTCTTAGGTTCAAAGTCTCAAAAGCCACGTCTAGTAGAGTCTTGTTCATCGGTGTGAGTCGCGACACATCTATGAGCGAGAGGCTATAGGACGGTAGAAGTTACACTTCTTACATTATTCTTGAAGTCGTGCCTTAGAGTTTGGTTTATAAGTGTCCTTTTCCTAATCCTTCTCTTGTGTTTATAGGAAATGAATACGAGGGCGAATCGAAGGAGAGAGGAAGATGAGTTAGGTGATGAGGGAGTTCGTCCTCAAGTTGTGCAAAATGGTCAAGGTGTGCAATGCAATCAAGTTCCTATAGGTGAGCAAGAGAATGAGGTTCCGGTGGTTCCCCCGGCCATGACTAATGAAGAGATTAGAGCGGCTTTTGTGACCTTAGCCCAAGCCATGACGGCTCAAGCAAACAGAGATATGGGGCCTGGGGTGAATGCTTATGAGAGTACGGTAGCCTCAAGGTTGAGAGACTTCGTGAGGATGAATCCTCCTATCTTTTTGGGCTCTAGAATTGGAGAAGATCCCCAAGGATTCTTGGATAAGATTTACAAAATTGTGGATGCTATGGGAGTATCTTCTAGAGAGAAAGCGGAATTAGCTTCATACCAATTGAAGGAGGTGGCCCAAATTTGGTACACTCAATGGAAGGCAAATAGGCCGGAGGAAGCGGGTCCTATAGAATGGGAGGAGTTTAAGGAAGCATTCTTGGGTAAGTACTTTCCCCTAGAGAAGAAGGAGTGCAAAATTGAGGAGTTCATTAATCTTAGGCAAGGTAATATGAGTGTGGAGGAGTATGCTTTGAAGTTCTCTATGTTGTCTAGGTATGCTCCATCTTTGGTGTCTAACTCTAGAGAGGAGATGAGTAGGTTTGTTACCGGTGTATCCGACTTGGTGAAAGAAGAGTGTCGTACGGCAATGCTTCATGGTGACATGAATATCTCTAGGCTTGTTGTGTATGCTCAATCTATTGAGGAGTCCAAACTTAAGAGGATGAATAGGGATGTGAAGAGGGGTAGATCCGATGAGCAAGGTCAACCTAGGTTCAAGAAGAGGGTACCAAACCTAGATTTTTCAAGTGCTCCCAAGGTTAACCAAGAGAAAGGTGGTGGATCTCAATTTGTTAAGCCTACTTGTCCCACTTGTGGAAAGAAGCATTTTGGGAAATGTCTAGCCGGTACTAATGGGTGCTATGGTTGTGGAAAGAATGATCACAAGGTGAGCAATTGTCCTAATATTGTGGCTAAAGGAAGGAATGCTAGGCAAGCTCCTTATAGTGGTCCTAGTGTTGATGGTCAAGCAAGGAATCGTTTCTATGCTCTCCAAGCTAACAAGGAAGCAAATTCGGATAAAGGTGCCGGTAAGTCATAATGTCTAGTTTTGTGTTGGAATACTTTTGTGTTAGTTTAGATGGGTTTCTCCTAAGTGGGGGATGGTATGTTGAATGATGAGTTGAGGTGAGTTTGGAAATTCTTGTCTCTTTCTTCTATTCCTAATCAAGCTTGAGTCATAGAATTGTAGAAGCATGATGCATGGTTTTTGGAGTCTTGTGTAAAAAAAAAAATGAGTTTCTACATTTCTCCTTATAATGATGCATGCTTTAAGTTGAATTCTTGTTAAATGAGAAAATGAGTTTTCATAATGATGTCTCTCCTGTTTATATGCATATATGATGAGTTGCTAAAACATTTCATGAGTTGATTAGTTGAGCATGCTTAAGTGTTTTCTTGATGTGGCATGATTGTGTTTTAATGAGTTAATTGCATATTGTGTTCTTTGATGTTGTTATGAGCATGAGGTGCTATGGAGAAGGAAGTTCCTCCAAATAAATGAGAAATGGAAAAGATTTGAGGCATGTTGAGTTGTAGGTGTGTTTCTATTTCCATAAATATGAATGAAGTTGTGTTGTAATGACTTGTTATGTGGAGTTGATGTTTCCTCCTTGATGAGTGTTTTTAAATTGATATAGTAAGATTGTTGTGGGCTGCTAGTTTTAAGTCTTTACCCTTAATATGTTGAAGTGTCATTCGGGGACGAATGTTTCCAAGTGGGGGATAATGTAGCGACCCTAAAAATAGATAGGTGAAACTAGAGCCTAACGTATGAATTTTTAAAGTTTAAGCATAAATTGGAAGTAGTCACTTTTGGAAAAAAAAACAGTTCAGAATCTGGAAATTGGCTAAGTTCAAAATCTGGAAATTCTGCCAAGTGTGGAAATCAGTGAGTTTTTGGCCAACTTTGAGCAGTCATAACTCCTAGCTCAGGATGATCCAGTAGTATTTCCAGTTATGTTTGGAACGATCTTTCCAACGCCACCGAGTTTGCTCGATTCCGAGTTCGTATGAGTGAGTTATGCCCTTTGAAATTTGGGCAGTTGGCAAGGAGTCCGTCCGGAAATTTAAGGGCATTTTGGTCTTTTCACAAATCTTTTCTTTTGAGGTTATATTATTGTGTTAGGCTGATTGTGGATCATTTTGTTCCATTTTAAAAGAGTAAGGAAGGGTTCTCTTTGGAACACCATTGAAGGCCAAGGTGAAGTTGGAGCTAGGGTTGAAGGTTTTGAGTGCTTTCTTCTTCAATTTTTCGTGGGTTTCAACTTAGAGGTATGGTGACCCTTGATCCTTGATCAATCTTTCTTTCAAGGAGTCCAATCAAAAGTGTGTCAAAGAACAAAATCTCAAATTCTAATCTAAGCATGCGTTCATTGGCAAAACGTTTTCTAAGCCATTATATTGATGAATTAATGTTTGATTAATGTTTTTAAGATAATTTCATATGGAATTCCTTGAAGAATCCATGTTTTCCCTAAATTCCTAAATTTGCTTATGAGGTGGGTCTTTTGCTTATGATTCAAAGTTTATGAGATTGTGTTTGGATTGGATTGTATTAGTGACTCTTATGATTCTCTACATCTATCTATGATGAATTGATGATGTATGGATAAATTGAAAGTTGTGGCCTTATGGGCAAGTTATGATGAATTCTCTTGTGGTAAGTAAAATGGTTGGGACTTGAGTGTTGTTGATTATGGCTTTGGAGGATGGTAAGTTGGCTTAATCTCTTATTATGGATAAAATTGTTCTTGCTTAGTTTGATCCACTTATGGTGGAGGTGTTTAATTATGGAATGTATTAAGAAAGTCAAATGAGCTATCCTTATGAACCTTGATTGGCCATGACTAAGAAATGGGGCCTTTCTTGGGAAGAGGTACTATGAGTTGGTTGAACTAGAAAAGGAACCCTCTCTAAGTACATATGTGATTGAATACTCTATGGGAAACAAGGCTAGCACCGAGTGGATGTGGTTAGGAAGGTGGCCTAGTTGAGTATGAGATTAGGCACAATGAACTTCCTTGGACATCTCCTAAACCATGTGCCTACATAGGTTGCTTATTAGTTCTACCTTTGGCAAGTAGAACAACCTCCACGGAGTAGGATAGACTCCGGATTCCATACCTAGCTAGTATGGTCTATGTCGGTTATGCCTATTCCCATCATGTGGGATGTGCACTCTAGTTATTGGATAGGTTCTACAACGTGTAGGTAGTAGTATGGGATGCTATCTACACATGGCACGAGTAGGCTTTGAAGATACTAAAGTGAGTTCCCTAAGTCTAACGACTATTATGTGAAAGTCACCTTATGTGCTTAAATGTCTCCTAAAGTGGTTCATTAAAGAATTTTGACTTAGCATGTTATATTGTAATGGTACATTCCTTATCTATGGTAACCCTTAGGAACACTTAGGTGTATATAAAGAGATTGTATGGGCGGTCACTTCATGTTTCACTTAAGTGTGGCTTTGGGTAACTTGAGATAGAGGTCATGAAATGATGAAAAGGCTTACTTGTCAATTATATTCATGTATTGTACATTGGTACTAGTTGAGTATGTCTATTATGTGGGTATTGTCTTATATGTGGATGATGACTTGAAATGTGTCTCTTATAATTGTGATATGAAGGTTTTATCAAAAATGGCATGAAAGCACATATTTCAAATAAATGTCCTTTTTAGCATGTTTTTGCATGGTCATCATACTTAGTACTTAATTGTGCTAATTCCATATTTCTCTATTTTCTACAAGTGTAGGTTCCGGCAAGTGAGCGGGTTTTGTAGTAACTTGGGATTTGAAGTTCTTCCTAGATTTTGTGGTATGTCCTCATATGTCGAGGGCAAGACTTTTCTATTCTAGTTTTATGATAAGATTCTTGTAATAGACTTAATAGACTTCTTTTGATTGTAAAGGGCCGTGTCCCTAGTATGTTTTCACGTTTATGTCTAAGATGGCTAAGAGACTTAGTATTCCGCTTGTTTACTTTTGAATGATGTTTTTAAAAGTGACCTTTGAGTCTTATGGGATTTTATTTAAAGAGTTTTTAATTCCGCACTATTTTACATATCTAATGTGATGAATGCTAAGGGCTTGTATGAGACCTCCGAGAGGTCAAATACGAATGTTACGACTTGGGGGTGCTCTCGGGTCGTGACAGAAATGTTAAATCAAAATGGTGCCATTGCCGGGGACATCGCTGATGGATACATCCTCGGCTAATGACATTGAGACTATACCTGCAGAGGCATATTTTCCTTCTCCGTCCTCTGGGCCTTCAGGTATTCCTAGCTCTACCCCTTCTATGACCCAGAGCTCTTCTACCGGTCCCCTGCCTCCTAGGTCTGTTGCTAGCTTTGCTGCATCCTGACCTCCACTCACACAGGCCGCGATACTACGGATAGGGCATCTAGCCTATTCTGCTGATATATGTGCCTCCATAATAGAGGCTACAGTTCTTAGGATGATTGAAGGAGCTCTCGCTGCTATTGTGACACCTCTTAGAGAGTTTATTGATCCCCTCGCGGCAAGGATAAAGGTGTGTGAGAGAGACCAGGGATCTACTTATGAGGTAACGACCCTAAAGGCTGCAACTACAGAGTTGAGAAAGGAGTGGACCAACTGAAGTCCACAGATATGTCGATAATTTTTGGGACTGTGGAGATCCCTGATGACCTAGACACAGATATGCTAGTTGATTCTGATGTACCTCTGGCTACCTCCAGAGATGAAGTTAGAACTGATGATGTGGCTGCAGAGTCTAAGGCTGAGACTAATGAGAAGCAGTTCGGAATCCAGGAGGAGATCACATATGAGGGTCTAACGGAGGTTGAGGAGGCTATGGTACATTCAGCCATGCAGACTTCATTGAGAGAGACTTTCATGGTAGGCTCTAGTGGAGCCAGTGTTTCTGTTACCCCGGGAACTGATGCCTAAGATCAAAGTGTGACCCCGAGCATTGATGCCCTGGCAGACGGAGCGACTGAGTAGATAGGATCATTCTTTACCTCCATCTCTATTGTTCTTATTGACTTTTGGTGGTTTTAGTTGCATTTGACGACAATTGTTTTTCTTTTGTGGGTGGGGTGAGGTATTTCCATACTTACTTCTTGTGATTATATTTTGTGTATATACATTGGTTTGTGTTTTAATTGTGTTTTTATTCTATCTTGTGGATATTTGAGCTTGTGGCTCCTTGTTTTGAAAATAATTGTGCCACCTCTTTTGCGTATGATTGTGGTTGTTTTTGTGCAAATTTGAGTATCAGTTATGATCAATACTGATGTCTTAAATAGTGCTCTTAATTGAAGGAAATGAATGTGCAGCTACGATGAGGCCAAATGAAGTTGCATAGACAATATGTGGACTTTTTGCATCTCGTTGTGACTAGTCGATTATCGAATGAGTCTCTTGTGATGAACATTGCACACTAGCTAGAAAGTGTGGAGTCTCGTTTGATATTGGTGCCAATGCCTTGTGTAATGAGCTTACCTTCAACATTGTGTGTGTTGACACCTAAAATTTATCATGTTGGTCCGGTTGACTAAGTGATATAAGCTCTTGAAATGATCTTAGGCAAAAAATTTGATGAGTGACATAAATTGTCAATATACCTCTTTTTGTGTCTAACCTAGTGAGATGTGTGAACCTTGCTTGAACCCCTTTGAGCCTTATCCTTTTCTTGGTAGAAACTTGAACAATTGTGACCTCTCTTTAACCATTCACCCATAACTCTCATGAAGTGTGGTTTGTGTGAATAGCCAACTTAGGCCAAAATCCTAAGTTGGGGGTGTGGTGAAAAGAGAAGGTAAATCAAGAAGTGTGAAAAATTCCCCTTTGAGCCATGATCTTCAAAAAGATGGAACCCCTCCATGTAGAAGAAAGAGAAAGAAGAAGAAAACAAAACAAAAATAATGAAAAAATTGTGAAATAAAGTAATGAAAGATGCAAAAGAAATGGGATGTCTGGTAGTCCATTGGAAGTTGAATAATGGGGTGAATTATGAGCATGATTAAAATGTTGAAGAAAAGAAGGAAAGT